GGCCCCTTTCTCAAGCCTTTCCGATGGGGGCCAGCTCCCCAGGTGCCCTTATAGTAGCCTGCAATGCTGGTTTTCTGATCTGGACAGTGGTTCGCAACCTCGGTGGCCTATGAGAATCACCTGGGGCCCTTAAACAACAACCTGCGCCCCCTGCCCAAGGGATGGAACCCAGGTGGTCTGGCATGACGCTGCTGGCCTCTGCACTCAGGGCCCAGACCACTGCCCAGGAGCGGATGGGAGGGATGCGATCTGGGACAAAGAAGCGCTTTTTCAAATTTGGGGAGGGGGAATGGGCACCTGCAGTATCCCCTGACTTCCTCCCCTCTTCCCACCCCCTCCCCCCTCCCCTTTCTCTGCCCATGCAGTCCATCCAGCCCACGGCCAACCTGGACAGGACCGATGACCTGGTGTACCTCAACGTCATGGAGCTGGTGCGGGCTGTGCTGGAACTCAAGAACGAGCTCTGCCAGCTGCCTCCCGAGGGCTACGTGGTCGTGGTGAAGGCAAGGGTCTCTGGGGGACCTGAGCACGGGCCAGGGCCAGGGGGAGGCTGCCCGCCCCAGCCCCAGAAGGAGGGTGGGAGGCAGAGCTTCCTTATCTGCCACCCCGGCAGGTGCCTTTCTCAAGAAGACCCTCATTAGAGAAAGGCTGTCAAAGGGAATTCAGTTTCTGGTCACCTGAGAGCTGGGACTGCGGCCAGGGAAGCCTGGCTTTCCCAGAGCGCAGGGTGGCGGTCTCCATGCCCCTCTCTCTCCCTAGAATGTGGGGCTCACACTGCGCAAGCTCATTGGGAGTGTGGACGACCTCCTGCCTTCCTTGCCATCCTCTTCACGAACCGAGGTAAGTGCCCGCATCCCATAAGCCTTCACTTCTCCCTGTGTCTTCTTGCCCAAGGCTCAGGGGCCATACTGGGCGGCCTCTGGGTGCCGTCGGTGGCACTGCACTCCATGTTTGAGCACCAGGTGACCCCCAGGGAGCTGAGAGGGCATGAGCCCGGCCCACTACCGGGGCAGAATTGCCCTTTCAAGGAAATTCAGATAACTAACTGCAGCGAGTTTCACTGTTATTGTTGGGTTGGGGGTGAACGTTTTCACAGCAAATTAGTTCCCATCGAACAAGTTCTATACAGACAAGAGGTTTCCGAAAGTGCTCAGGGGGAAAGGCCATTATCCTTCCATTCCACTTTGCCACGGATTTTTTGCAGCCTCCTCAGACTGCTCAAAGGGGCAGCCCTACACTGTCGTTAGGCGGCCGCTATGCATTGGCCTCGACTTGAGGGCAGTGTTTGGTTTGGTTCCATATTGCTCAGTGACATTGGTTACGTTTTCCAAATGGTGTCTCGTTCTCCATGCCCCCTGTTCCACTCCCAGCTTGCTTGCTCCTCCCACCCCCTCACCCGTGCTGCAGGGTGAATGTCAACAGTGTTGACTTGACTGCTTGCTCTCATACAGGTGATGCAGGGTGAGTGTCAACAGTGTTGACTGCTTGATCTCATGCAGGTTGTTAGTAAGTTAGTTTAAATAAGGAGCCCCGTGCTCACATGGGGATATTGTTAATTTTATGAATCAATCTGTTATGTGGCTGAAAGGTGGCCTTGGGAATGGTTTCAGCTTCAAGTTTAAAGGGCAGTAGTCTTGGGGACTCTTCTAATCTCTGCCAGTCTAGTAAGTCCAGCCTTTTAGAAAATTATTATTATTAAGAATTAGGGTTTTGTTCTACAATGGTCTCCCATTCTCTCTGGGACCATCTATTGCAGGGGTCCTCAAACTACAGACCATGGGCCACATGCAGCCCGCCGAGGACATTTATCCGGCCCTCCGGATGTTTTTGCCCTGTTTGTTTTTTACTTCAAAATAAGATATGTGCAGTGTGCATAGGAATTTGTTCATAGTTTTTTTTTAAAACTATAGTCCGGCCCTCCAACGGTCTGAGGGACAGTGAACTGGCCCCCTGTTTTAAAAGTTTGAGGACCCCTGCTCTATTGTCTGGTCAGAATGGTCCATCGTGATGAACAGGGCTTGTCTAGTTCACCTGGTGTCAGGGAAGATGAAGCCATGGTTTCTTGTGGCAAGTTCTTTTTTGATAGAGAGATATGCAAAGGTGGACTCCCCCTTTTTGTTTGTCCCTCTTTTATCCTTGTCCCTACATGCCTTCATTGAGTCCATTCAGACTCATAGTGACTCTGTATAGGGTTTCCAAGATGTAAGTCTTTATGGGAACACACAGCCTCATCTTCCTCCTGACGTGCAGCTGGGGTCTTTGAACCACTCACCTTGTAGCTAACGGTCCTGAACTTGCCCAACAGCATCACCAGGGCAAGTGCATCATTGGCATCGACCTTACGGCTTTCCATCCTTGATGGTTTCATCTAATTTTCTTTATTGACAAGAGAACTAACAAAAACTATCGGCGAGAAACCCCAGTGAGAGGCCTCCCCAAGGTGCTTGAGCTCCCTGTGAAGCCTGAGCCTGAGCAGGCAGAACGATGGTCCTGCAGCGGCCAGCTCCCGGGCCCCAGAACAGCGAATGTGTTACCTTTGCAGCTACGACTTTTATGCATCTTGAGGTGGGAGACTAACCCGACTACCTGGGTGGGCTCAGTGCCCTCGTAAGAGGGTTTCAGGAGGGCTGGAGACCGAGAAGGTGATACCAGGGCAGAAGCAGAGGTCAAAGTGATGCTATTGCTGGAAGGGAGCCAGGAGCTAAGGAATCCAAACGGCCTTCAGAGGCTCGGCAAGGCCAGGAGCAGACGGTCCCCTCGAGCCCCAGGAGGAAGGCAGTCTGCTGACACCCTGACTTTAGCAAACCCCCGCCCCGCCCCGCCCCACCCCACCCCACCCCAAGGCAAACTCATGATTCCTACTCATGGCAATACTATGGAGCAGATTGGGACTGCCCGTGCGAGCTGCCAAGACGGTACTAACTCTTCACAGGAGGAGGAAGCCTCGTCTTTCTCCCGTAGAGTCTGGTGGTTTCAAACTGCTGACCTTCCAGTCAGCAGCTGGTGAGTAACCACTGGCACCACCAGGACCCCTTGAGGTCAGTGATGGAGCGGCCCAGGCTGCGGGGTCTGATGTGAGACCTCAGCCCTCTTGGGGCGATGGCCCGCTTTTACGCTGAGGAGTGAGCTCTCCAGTCACCCCTCTGGATAACCGTCTCCTCATACGGCAGCAGTAGGCAGGCTCAGAGGACAGGGTGGGAACCAATACAGACAGACTTGGACTTGACAGGAGACAAGGAAACCCATGAGCCCACGTACTGGACCCCTGACCTTTTACGCACACTTTGGAACCAGTGAGAAGGGGCGGGGCTCGATGAAAGGAGGGCCCTACCAACTGCACCAGCCTGGGGTGGCAGCAGATGGGCCGAAGATGTCCAGGCCAGTCTTTGCTGTCAGTCCTTGCTGTCCTGGGCTCCCAGCTGCATGGGACTTTGGAGTCAGTCCAGGGAACTTCCGACCACCTGGGGGACCTGAGCCCAGCTGAAACCAATACCTGTACACTCACCATCCTCTGGTCCCAACTTTGTCTCTCCCTCGACTGCTAGCCTTCCTTCTGTGCTCCTCTTTCAGATCGAGGGGACCCAGAAACTGCTGAACAAAGACTTGGCGGAGCTCATCAACAAGATGCGGCTGGCGCAGCAGAATGCCGCCACCTCCCTGAGCGAGGAGTGCAAGCGGCAGATGCTCACAGCCTCGCACACGCTGGCTGTGGACGCCAAGAACCTGCTCGATGCTGTGGACCAGGCCAAGGTCCTGGGCAACCTGGCCCACCCGCCTGCAGAGTAACAGAGGGCACCACCCTGACTGTGTCATCTGCCCCCCAACCCGGTGTCGTGTACCTCCCTGCGCCACCCTCCCGGCCCCTGCCTTGCTTTCGGTCACGTGGGTCTTCTCAGGGGGAAGGCCTAAGGGAGTCCTTCCCTTTGCCACTTTGCACGACCCCCCCCTCTCCCCACCCCACCCCCACTCAGGCTGCAGCTGGACACAAGGGACCCTGTGGATGCTGGGGGATGGCAGAGAGGGTGCAGAGGTAGACTGTGGCTACCCAGCTGCTCTTCCTCACACGGGCCTGGCCCAGAGCAAGGGCAGCTTGTCGGACGGACGGATGTCACAGTATCGCCAGGAGCCACCCCCGTGGCTTTCTGTATGGGCATGGGAATCAAGCTATTCTTTCTCCTTCCTCTTTGGCCCTCGGAGGTCCCGGGCCACACAGAGGGGCTGGAGAGGGACTTTTGTGGGAGGTAATAGTGGGTGAGGCGAGGGATGGCCCTGGTTTTTGTGTACAGTGTACATTGGAATTTATTTAATATGAGTCTGGTCTGGACTGACAGCTATGTGTCCCACCCCCCACCCCCACTCCCACTGTGGGAGGACCCCGGAGATGGTCCAGGAACGAGCTGATTGGGAGTCTGGGCACAGGACACCGTGTTGTACCAACAGACCAAGCATTGGGAAGACTTGGGAGAGACAGAAGCTAAAACAGAACTTTGGGCAAGCGTCTGCCTCTCTTCTGACCTCTCTCTTCCTTTCCTCTCTTCCTCTGCCCTTCCCCACCCCCTTCCCCTCTTTTCTTACTCACCCCCTTCTCTCACCCGTTCTCACCCATTCCCTTCCTTTCTCTTGTGTTTGCGTACAACATTCTTTTACCGCCTTTCTATTTGACTTGTGGTTGAATTAAAATTGTATCATTTGCTTGGTTTTTGTTTGTTTGGACCACACTTTGGGGAAGTACGTTGCATCTCGAGGGTGGGCACTGGGGCTTGCCCAAGGGAAGCGTGTGGTGACACTTGGTTGGAAGTCAGGGCCAGTTGGTCCGGGCCCTTGGCCTTTGCATGGAGAGCCAGGCACTGACTGAAGGGTGACTTCTAGGTGGACCATGGCAGTTCCCACCACGGCCACACGAGGAATGCCAATGACATCCTCCCGGAAGATACCAGCGTCATCAGACTTGGGCCGGGCTTGATGCTGAGGGGAGTGGTTGGAGAAGAGACCTCAGGTAGTAAAAGGTGCAGATTAGGTTTTATTTCATCCCTTGATTTACATGCAAGATGGACAAGGAGCCTGAAAAATGCTCGGATGTTAGAATGGGTTCGCTAGCGAAGGAAAGGTCAGTGATGCTGAAGGGTTTGAGAGAGAGGGAGAGAGATTCACATCGAGAAATGGCTCACACAGTTGTGGAAGTGGGTAAGTCCGGTCCATTTCAAGTCTGTGGGTCAGATGATAAGCTGGAGATGTCTCCCAACTCCAGTCACCTTGGGCCGAGGAGCTAGGAAGCACGAAGGCCTCAGGATGGTAGAGGCCAAGTCCAAGCTAAGGCCAGCAAGGCTGTTGATGGCTCCTGGGATGGGCAGGCAACATGGCAAGAAGTTAATGAACCAGATGCAGGATCCATGGAGTCTGCTTTGAAAAGGAGCAAGCCACACCCCCAAACAGTTTTCCTTCCAATTACATCAAAACGGTGACCTCATCAAGGGGGCTGCATTCCACCACAGCTGCGGCTGCTTACTGAGTTGATTATGTTAGATCCCATCACAGAGTTGATTACATTGTGTTAAATCCCATAAACAGGATTTCTACCAAACTACTGAGAACCTTGGATCAGCCAAGTTGGCACAAAACCTAACTATCACTATTAGTGACCTCTAGGAGCCAAGACAGGAATTGGAACAGGAGTAGGGAGAAATGGGTCACTGAGGACTGGGAATCTCGGGCGAGGCTGTCAGGGTCAAGCTGGTCTTGCTGGGTCTGAGGGAAGACCCCTTCCAGGGAAAGGTCAAGGTGGCTTAGAAAGAGGGAACCCCAGAGTCCTGGAGGAAGCTGAAAGCATGGCTCTGGTTTCCTGTTGGCTTTCCCACACTGTCCTGGGGTAGGACCCTAGGGCCTGATGCCTGGTGGAGAAGCAGCATCCGTCAGCTGCTGAGCTCTGACCTGGCTCCCACAAGTGGCCAAGGGCTTTGACAGTTCCCATTTCAGAGTGAGGAGCAGGCTCCACTGAGAAGTTCAGAGTCAGCCGGAACACAACGGAGGACTTTAGGAAGGACAGGGAAGGCAGTCTGTGGAGACAAACAGCCCTGCAGCGATAGCATTCCCATGGCCATCTCAGGGGACAAAGCAGTCTAGCTCCTCCTCCATGGCTCAGAACAAGTGCCCTGAGTTTCGATCACTGATCACTCACCCAGTATGGAGCTGGCTGCTGCTGGTCCTACTGGAGTCAGGAGGGTGTCTTTCGGAAAGAAACCTATAATGCCAAGTACCAAGGGTCTAGGGCCCTGCAGAAGGTGCTTCCTAACAAGCTCCGAGTTTGAGCTGGGCCTTGAATGGCAGTCCATGTTGTAGCCGAGAAGGGAAGGGCCTTGAATGGCAGTCCATGTTGCAGCCGAGAAGGGAAAGGTAGAATGAAGGGGAAGTCTGGGGAGTAACCCCAGGGTGGATGGCACGATCCAGCTACCTACATCCACCATCCATCCCTCCATCTGGAGGGCCCAGCTCGGCCTCTCCAGCTGCACCACTGGTCCACCTCCTCCCCGCCAGTGCCCTGCCTTTACCTCCTTCCCCTCCCCGACATCCCTCTAGCCCTATGCTGTTAAGCTCCATAGGCCAAAGCCCCCCAGACTTCTTTCTTTCTCAGCCTGGTTTACAGCCACCCCAACTGCTCCCCACACTGCAGCCCCACCTCAGTTGACCATGGGGGCTGATGCCTAAGTCCCAAATTTTGCTCCTATCAGGCCCACCCCACCCCCCATCCCTACCCCCAGTTCCTGGGCAACTTCTCCCCTCTTCCCAATGCACCCCTTCTTTGGGGTCCATACCTTGCTTCTCTTTCCCAGTCCCACATCCACCCACTGCTTGGCTGTCCCCTCACCTGGCAGTATCTGCACCTGTTCCTTCAGGAGCGTCTCACACCGACTCCCATTCTCACCACCGTCACCTGGGTGTCTGGAGAGCAAGTGTCATCCCTTATGTTAGCTCCTCTGCCTTCCGAACAAGAGGTGCTCGGCCAGTTCTTAGCTCCGAGAGCTGTCGTTGTCGAGGTGGCTGGTTCCAAGTCTTCTAGGAGTGGGCTAGTTCAGGTGCTTTAAGGAGAAGCGCCTGCATTTGGATGGGGGCAACACCGCAGGTTTATTCTAGAGGAAGAAGCAGTGCAGGACGGTCAGTAGCAGCCCCTCTGGGAGTGAACACAGGGCCGTGAAATCAGATCATTCCAGCCAGGAGCGGAGGAAGGAAGAGTCCAATGGTCCCCAGGAAGCAGACGATGATAAACAACCAGAGGAATATCCTGTCGATCACCATGGCGACATACTTCCAGTCTTCTTTTACCTGAAGTAGAAATGGGCTCACAGTGATAGAGGCCAGGCCCTCTGAAGATCACCCCTGGGAGGCAGCTACCCACCCTGCAACCTTGGGAAGCTCAAAGCCAATGCCGGGAGAGGGGTGGGTGGGGAAGAGAAATATGGTTGTCTCAGAGTTCAAAGCATCCTTGCCTAATAACTCTTGGTGCATGCCATCCCCTCGACAAGGCCCAGAGCCTTTCCATAGGCTTCTCAAGTTCCCAGTAATCGATGCTTAGACATGCAACTCAAGGTTAGGGAGACATTTAAGAGCCACGAGCCCTCTCCAAGGGACTGTTAGTGATTTCAGTGCGATGTCCAGCAGCTGTAGGATGGTTAAGTCTTCGCAGGGAACAGAGAAAGGGATGCAGGTAAAGATAAGAGCAATTCCGGGGAGACCGGAGGCCCTTTGAGGAGCTAGGGGAGAATCTGAGGGTCGCAACACAGGCAAGGAGGCCCGGATTTCTAGCCATTCCCAGATTCGATAATGATTAATGTCTCTTATCTACTGAGAAGGCCATCCCGGAATGAACTCCCGGCCTTTCATCCTCCCTGAAGTTAATAAGTTGCCAGGTTGCTAAGAAGAGTTCTGTGATCCTGGGCAATGCACTGCTTGCCCGGTCATGCAAGTCACGGCGGGGGTGGGGTGGGGGCGGGGAGACCATCTGCTATCACCAAGATTGGCCGGCGTCTGGGCGAATACCGAAGTTCACAAAAATGTCCAGATCCCGTGAACAAGGAGAATGGCCAAAGAACCAAAGTCTCGAACTCATGGATTTGATCTTGGAAATATTCCCTGGACCTTCCTCTGCCTCTCCACCCCGCACCATGCAGGATGATGGCTGGCCTGATGTAGCACTGGGAAGGGTTAGCTCCTGGTACCTCTCCCCCTCCCACTCACTGTCTGTGGGTTTGGCTTTCTTAGCTTCCATGGGATCCTGACATCAGCCAATCAAGTGCCCTCAAAGGGAAGCACTTGACCGACTATCAGCTAAAGGTTGGGTGTTGGGCAGCACTCACTCCCTCCCCTCCCCTTCCAGAGTCACCTCAGTCAACACCCCAGAAGCCAACTGCATTGGCCAGGTTGTCCAGGCTTGAAGACTCGATGGAGCCATGCTTCTGTGCCCACAATGGGGTCGCCAGGGGAGGGAACAGATTTGAGGAACTGACACCAACAACTCGCTGCTCTTATCCCTCGGGGTGCATTCCAGCATGGTGTATTTCAGGACTGAGGGGCCCTATCTAAGTGGGCCGGGCTCTCCAGAGAGGAGGCTGGGTAGACCAAGACTAATACCTGTTAGTTCCTACTAAGCTGGTGGGCGAGGGGGTCCCTCACCCAGTTCCAACTTACCGAAGAGTCAGCGTCCTCAGACCTCAGGTGATCAGCAATGTAGCGCACGCCTTCCAGTGCCTTCTGCATGCTGGGTGACAACAGGAGCCCTCCCTCCTGCCCCGGAGCCTCGGCCTTGGCAGCTGAGGCCAGTGGACGCAGGTCCTCGTGGCTGTAGAGAGCACCCACTGCGGGGGGTGAATGACAGGCACACGCCCACCCATCTTCATCCTCCTCTTCTCCCTCTCCCTCCTCCGGGTCCACAGTGGTCTCCAGCCAGCGATAGGAGGGACTAAGCGTCAGGCCTGCGGGCTCACAGGGCTCCAAGGGCGGCAGGGGCCGGTTCATCAGAAGCCACCGGGGCGCACAGGCCAGGAAGGCCACCCGCACCCAATGGGGCATGTTGTGCGTGCCGGGGGAGCGGTGGTGGACATTGAGCACAAAGACGGTGATGACGATGGACAGGGTGACGAAGACCATGGTGAAGAGCAGGTACTCGCCGATGAGCGGGATGACGAGCGAGGTGGAGGGGATGATCTCGGTGATGAGCAGCAGGAAGACGGTGAGCGAGAGCAGCACGGAGATGCACAGCGTGACCTTCTCGCCGCAGTCGGAGGGCAGGTAGAAGACCAGCACGGTGAGGCAGGAGATGAGCAGGCAGGGGATGATGAGGTTAATGGTGTAGAAGAGGGGCAGCCGGCGGATGAGGAAGGAGAAGGTGACGTCGGGGTAGATCTCGGCGCAGCAGTCGTACTTCTTGGTGTTGTAGGTCCCCGTGGCGTTGACGATGGCCCACTCGCCGCTCTCCCAGTAGTCCTTCAGGTCCACCGCCTGACCCATCGGCTCCAGGTCGATCTTGGCCTTGTCGTAGGTCCAGGAGCCGAACTTCATCTTGCAGTTCTGCTGGTCGAAGGGGAAGAAGGTGACGTCGATGCTGCAGGAACTCTTGTAGATGGCGGGGGGCACCCAGTGCACCGTGCCCGAGAAGAAGAGGTGGGCCTTGGTCATGTGAGTCACTGCAAACTCCCCATCTGCACTGGGGGCAGGAAAGGAGGTGAGAGGCTTGGCTCAAAGCTCAGCTACCGACGCCATGTGATGCCAGGCAACTGACCCAAGGGAACCCCAACCATCAAGTCCAACCCAGTCAGGTTGTTTGGGTCTCACGTGAAGTGCATTAAGACTTGCCCAACACACAGGCGTGTCTGGCTCCACTCCACGAGCCACCTTTTTAACGCTGTCTTAGAAGTCATCTTTTAACACAAAAGGAGACATTTCACAAAATGTCACAAAGTACTGACAGGTTTGCAAATAACCCCTATCAATGCTTTGATGTCTTTCCTTTGTCAAAGGTAACACTAGAACGTATTCATGGGCATGGCGTATGCGGGGTTTTGTTGCCTGTTTTTGGTGAACAGCTGAGAGCCCTGACTTAGGAGAATATTCTCTCCCTTCTTGGGATCCTTAGTTCCAGGCACAGAAAAAACCTAACATCTTTCTTGAGAACACCCACTTACCCTACGGTTGGGAGCCTGCTTCCTCCACCACAGCCTCTCACAGAGCGACAGAGACAGAGAAAACTACGAGCCAGCCCCTGCCCTTTGAGGAACCATGAGAAGACGGACACATGCATGCACAACTACACACAAGGCAGGTGGTTTGGCAAAAACACTGAGAGGGTCAACTGCCCCGAAAGATTCACAGGGGGAAACTCCTTTCCAGCAGGGCCCAGTAGGGTCCTTATGAAAGTTGCCAAGGCTCTGAAGGAGTTGTGGGGGCACTGCAGAATAAGTGTTGGGCTGCTATCTACATCAATAGTTCAAAGCCACCAGCTGCTCCTGGAGAAAAAGACGAGGCTGTGGGCTCCTGTCAATTGTATAATTGTACATTCTCAGAAGTGCCTTACAGGGTTGCTATGAGATGGAATCGGCTGGAGGGCAGTGGGTTTGGTTTGGGCTTGGGGGTGATGGTAGGTTTGGTGTTCAGATGGGGTGGAGAGTGCATGAGTTCGCAGTGGACCCCAAGGACCAAGAATCAAAAATGGGAAAGGGCAGACCCTGCCTCCTGGGCTCAGGCAGGGTGTGAGTGGACTGTGCTGGGACATGAAGTCAGAAGGGCCCCCAGGGACAAGAGGGCACAGGTGTTTGAATGGGGGTCACTGAAGGGTTTCCGCTGGGGAGGGGGTAGCCCTGTGACTTCCGGGAAGATGCATGAACATAGAATTAGAGAGAGCCATTTCGTCAGGAAGGAGTCCTGGTGCGCTGCGGATCGGGGGTTGGCCTGCTACTGGCGAGGTGGGTGGTTCAAACCCACCAGTTATTCTGTGGGAGAGTGCTGAGGTTCTCTGTTCCCATAAGGATGTGCAGTCTCAGAAACCTGCTGTGCGGTCGCTATGAGCCAGAAGCAACTGGGTGGCAGTGCATTTGGAGTTTTATTCAGGAGTCCCTGGGTTTTAGAAAGAGTTAACAGCCTCAGCTGCTCACCCAACGCTGGGTAGATCAAGGCACGAATGTTAGGAAACAGGTGTAGGAATGCCTGGATGTACAAAGAGCCCTGCAATCCTCCACCCATTCACATTAGAAAGTTTTTAAAAGGCAGTTTGAGTTCACCCAGAAACTCCCCCAGAAAAAACGTTCTGGCAAACGACTTCCGGGGGAGGGGAGCTGTTGAGGCCCTGAGGGGCACAGCCCTACTCGGATGCACCCAGAAGGTCACCTTGAGCTGAGTCCAGCTGTGGACAAGGGCTTGGTGTTGGACATTCAGACAGAAGGATATGAATTGGTGGACAGCACACTAGGCTAACTATAACGTCATAAAGACCTCACTAGGGCAGCCCTCGGGCAGTGGTTACGCACGGGGCTCCTAACCACAAGAGCAGCAGTTTGAAACCATCAGAGGAAGAAAGATGAGGCTTCCTACTCCCTGAAAGATCTGCGGTGGAGGAAGCCCATGGGGGCAGTTCTACCCTGCCCTGGAGGGCCCCTGTGAGTCAGACAGGGCTGGATGGCTTCTTTAAGGGTCCACGTAGAGATGGAAACAAGATAACTTAACAGGTCAAGGAGTCGAAGGACCCACCACGGGTCTTGACCAGGTGGAGGGCAAGAGAGGAGGAAGAGGCAAAATCTGTTCTGTAGCGCTGGCTGTGGGGACCCTGGGACCCTGGTGAGTCACCTAGTGGTGAATCCTCAGGACCTGGGTTCCCCTGAGAGGTGCTGCTGCTAAACTCCGGAATTAGTCTTTACACAGTCTCTCCCCGCTTGAATTCACACAGTCAATCCTAAAACCCAGAGGACCAGAAGCACACATAGGAAGAGACGGATTCCTCTGCTATAGTTCCAAACAGGATTGATAGTTAGGCTGAAAACAAAACTTAGAAAGTAGCAAACTGAACCCCAAAAAACGTTTAAAGGAGGGAGGGGGAGATTTCTGTCATCACACATAATCACCACTAGATGGCAACATGTGCCGCATTTTGAGGAGGCTTGAAGTAGTCTGGGGAGACGCTCCTGTTTCTGGTTAACCTAGTAGTGTGCAGTATCGACCTGGCAGGAGACCTTCTTTTAAATGTCTGCAAGATTTTCTGTTAGACGTTTGTCCTAGCAAAAGTCTCCTTGTTAAAATCAATACCACTGGCTTTGGCTTTATTTGGTATTCCTAAAACACAAGAGCCCATTAGATACTAGGACTTGGCTCCCCATCTCTGGGGGCCTCAGGGAAACCAGGATCCTGGCTGCTGCCCAGGACACAGCGGCATAGGGTGGGGGCTGGAGGGGTGGGGAGCATCTGTGAAGCCTGTGGTGGCTGCAAACATCAGGCATGCACGTGCGAGCCCTCCCAGGCAATATGGTGATTGATAAACACGCCACCGAGCTGGCAGGGCTTTGGGTCTGACTCCCAACTGGAGGGAATAATCGAATCATGGTGGCCCAATGTGGTCCCCCTGGAGACTCCAAATCTAGAAGAGAGCCATTTCCCCCTCTGTGTTATTATTTAAAAATAGCGTTTTCAAAAAACACAAGAGCCCATTACTACCGAGTCTATTCTGACTCAGAGACCCCATAGGACAGAATAGAACTGCTCCTTTGCGTTTCTAAGACAGCTAATCTTTACAGAAGTAGACAGCCTCATCTTTCTCTCCAGGAGTGGCTGGTGGGTTTGAACCGCTGACCTTGCGATGAACTCCTCAGTGAGTAGCCCACTATGCCATCAGGGCTCCTTAGAACTGCTACATAAGGTTTCTGATACTGTAAATCTTTATAAGAACAACGAGCCTCGTCTTTCTCCCGTGGAGCAGTTGGTGGGTTTGTACTGCTGACCTTGCCGTTAGCAGCCAATATGTGACTCACTACATCACCAAGACTCCTTCATGTTTTGAAAGTAGGTCAAAGAAATTAGAAAACACTGAGTGAAACGGGTTTCTTTGCTGCAGAACTTGTGACAACATTTAGAGTGCTATCGTGTCTTGGTACTTTTCAAGGATGTGGGGAGGGGACATACCATGTTGTAACAAATTACTTGACCCTGGAATCACATTCTTCATACCTATTTACATCTCAAGGAACTAAACGCTGTTGCTCCCAAGTTGAATTCAACTCCTGGAGACGCCTTGCGTGTCAGAACAGGACTGTGCTCCCTACAGTTCTCAATGGCTCTGATCTCCAGAACTCACATCACCAGGCCTTTCTTCGCAGGTGCTTCTGGGTAGAGCTGAATCACCAACCTCGGTGAGTACCCAAGCACTTACCCATTTGTGGCACCAAGGGACAGCAGCGATCCTTATGGAAAATTTTTTTATGCAAACGTAACACCACGCATCATTTCCTTTTAACTTCCTGGTTTCTCAGTGATGGCTTATCTGGTGGCAAACAAACTTGCGTGGGAGTACCAAACCAAAGCGCCTGCCATTGAGTTCATACTGGCTCCTCGTAACCTTCTAAGTCAGAGTAGAACTGCCCCTGTGTGTTTCCGAGACTGTAATTCTTTATGGGAGAAAGCCCCATCTTGCTCCCCCAGAGCAGCTGGTGGTTTTCAACTGCTGACCTTGCAGTTGGCAGTCCAAGGCATAACCATTAGATCACCAGATCTCTCAAAAGATAGATAGATAGTCACTTTGTCCACAAGAGTTGGCTTTTTGTTAGGAACTAATCATTCTGGTACAGATACATCTTTTGTGGCCTGGGATGCAAGGCCAATAGAAAACGGTATGAGTTTTTGACAGACATAGATCAAGGTACTTTGCCCCTTAGGAGGGGTGACTCCTGTGTACAGCCAGTTCCAACAGTGTCTATCCTTCAACACAGACTCTTAGGCCTTCTTTACAGAACCTGCACCACATTCTCCAGACACCACCCCAATAGTGACCAGTCTTTGTTTGATTCACATAGAGCTGGGCACTCACAAAGAGCAGGTGCTCAGTCCGTTTCAGTTGTGTGCATGGATGAGCGAACAGAAATAAAAGGAATAAGGAAAAGACACAGAAAGAAAAGAGAAATTCTTAGCAACTCGGGGAGGCGATGAAGCCGAGACACAAGGGAGAGTTCCTTCCAAACCCACCCCAGCAGACCCTCCAGGAGGACCACCCCCAGATCGCCAGACGCCTCCATGACCCCAAAGGCTCCTTACTTGTTGTAGAGGACAAGGTCGGGGATCCAGATCATCTCAGAAGGGACCCGCAGGGATGTGATGTTGCCGAAGTCGGCCGGGTTCCAGCGCAGTTTGTGGTCACTCCACTCCTGTGCAGGGGAGAAAGGTACAGCCCCCCGGGCTTGGCCTCAGTGCTGACCCAGGCCAAGACCACATGCAGGTCCTCCTGGACCCTCGCCACCAGGAAAGAGCTCTGGCGTAGGAACCAGGGGGGGCCTGGGATTGCCAGTCTCTCCTTTGACTAGTGTTCTGATGGTCTGACCTCCTGAGAAGCCCTCAGTGCCCCAGTCCCCGACCAAGTCAGCTGGTCACCCCAGGAGGGCCTCTAGCACACACTGGACACTCTCCCCAACAACCCTTTTGAGCTGCTTCATTCCTTTAGTAATGGCTGCTCCT